CAGGATCTCAAATTTTCAGATGTGTTTTCTTATTTTCCTTAGCATGAAATCACCAAAGTTGGCGCGTGAAAATTGCTCGACGACCCACCTGCACCTCCCGGTCCGCGCCCCCACTAAAGACCCGCTCCGAACTCACCGGAAAGCCATTTTTCTATGGCAGGTAGAGCGGTGGTTTAAATAATGGATGGGTGTTTGCTTCGGCCGCATGAGCCCGGTAAATTCCCTTTCGGCCTATCTATCCTTGATATATCCGACCGCAATTACATCTTGCATTATTCCTGAAAGCAAACGGCCTATCCCCAATGTATACGACCACAAGTCCAAATACAAAAACACGTCCTTTGCTACCTGGCTGCAACACATTCACCCCGCCTTCGTTTCCCCCTTTAAATACCGTCCCGTCTCAATGAAAAGTATTTCTCATTTCCTACACATTACTACGTACACACTCGCCCTTTCTTCTCCTTTGTTTTTCAATCCCCCCACACCACTTGTGCCGTGCCGCATCTATTCTGGGGGGCTGCGGTCCCGTTACCTGCAAGCTCACACTAGGTCTTTTCCAAGAATTAATCTGACCGCAATTACGACCTGTCCCCAATTACCTGACCGCAATTACGTCCCGTCCTCGACGAACCTGGTCACCATTGCAACCTGTCCCCGATCTGTCTGCCCACTCTCCTGCATGTGTCTGACCACGATTAGGTCCAGATACAAAAGAGGTCTTAGTGCCAGTTACCAAAAGGTATGCGCTATCTCTCTACCGGCTAAACCATAGTAAAATGTACCTTGGGGATAAAGTTCGATAAACAGATCATCGACACTCTGAAACCAGTTTGAATTTGCATATAATAAACGTCAAGGGCAAGCCACTTTTCCTTGGATGGGTGCTTTTTTTCTTTTTTTCGGGTGTGGTTCATGCTGCATAATATAGAAAAGCCTTTTTTTTTCTTTTTTTTTGCGTTACCCATCCAGCATATCCGGAAGGCACAACAGGTCTCTTGTGTAAAGCCTTGGGCGCTGGCCCCTGGTAGTAAGAAAGAGATTCTTCACACACACAAAACAAAGAAAGGCACTGCAGGTCTATACAATGCAGGGCGGGCAACACACAGACAGAAAAAAAAAAAGAAAAAAAAGACGCACTATTCAGATTCCTGAATATATAAGGCGATCAAGTCGGAGGCATAGCCAGGCTCAAAGTAGTGGTTTGAGATAACAAGCTACTACGACTCCGGTCCTTTCGGACATCCATTAAAATTGGAAAGATACAGAGAAGATTAGCATGGCCCCTGCTTCAATGATAACACTCATAAATCGAGAAATCGTCCAAATAAAATAATCAATTAATTTATAAAAGAAAAAAAAAACACAAGAAACACTTAAAAAAAGCTACAATGACTCTTCGTTAAGTACAAACAAACTACGGGTCAAGGCGCTTTTTTGGGGACCTCTATGTTTAGTATGCGCTATTGGTCACCATGAGCGTTTTTCTGTCCACCTTTGGTAGCCCCAAGGTGGACAGAACTGCACGGCCGCAAAGAGATAACAGGTTACAGTGAGGCTACCGTGTGCTTCATACACACCGCGGGTTAAAACTTCAAATTGGTTGCCCCACTTAACCCCCCTTCAACCTTCAAATTTGTATTTGTAAAATTTGTGAAGTCTTTCATCTTTAAAATTTTGAGAACACCTCTTCGCGCAGCTGCATAACAACTACTTCCATAATCTGAGACCGTCTTCTTCTTTTCAAACTTTTTTTTTCCCGAATTATTTAATGCCGGCCTCGGCCTGCTAGAGGGGGTGATACGAGCGTTTCATTTTTCAACCTGCGCAGTCTCCCCCCCCCCTCCCTCTCCCCCCCTCTCCCCCCCAACAACTACTTTCATAATCTGAGACCGTCTTCTTATTTTCAAACGTTTTTTCTTCCCATTTTTTTTTAATGCCGGCCT